TGGGGAATCTCAAGAGGTTGTCTGGTGCATCCTTTGCCCCAAAAGGGCCTCTGGTGAGGTCATCTAGTCCAACCCCCTGCTCAAAGTTACATAAAATAGATCAGCCTTCCCAGAGCCACACAAACATCTCAGAGCCTGGAGATTGCACAGCCCCTCTGGGCCCCTGTTCTAGTGTTTAACTACCCTCATGGTAGCCACTTTATTGCTCATATTTAATTAGAATCTCCTTTGTTGCAAGTTGTGACCACTGGCCCTTCTTTTTCTGCATGCCTCCAGGAAGAGTCCATCTCCATTTTCTCTAGCAATGAGGTCTCCCCTAAGCCACCTTTTCGTAAGGCTGAACAAACTCAGTTCTTCTAGGCTGTCTGTTTAGGTCACAGTCTCCAGTGTCCTGACCATCTTGGGGGCCCTCCACTGGACTCCCTCGGGGAAGTTAATGTCTGTTTTGGGTTTTGGTTTGGTGTTTTGGTTTTTTTTTTTGTATGGCGGGGAGGCCAAGGCTGGGCACTCTCCAAATGCATTCTCTCAGGTACTGAACAGAGGGTAATAATCACTTTCCTTGACCTGCTCGCTACATGGAAAAGCCATTACCACGTTGCCCTCATGTCTTTTCCAGTTTAGACTAACCAGTCCCTTTCTTCTTCTTGTATTTATTGTTTGTACAACAAGGAACATTGTCATAATGAGTCATGATGAGTCTTCTGCAGCAGCCTGTAACTTGAAGGCAGCTTGAAAGTTTCATAGACAAAATGGTAAAAGCTGGGGGGAAATTATGTTGTAGAATTAAACTCTGGAAAGAGCATCAGGCCTGGAAATTGGGTGTCTTAGTTTTCGTGCTGCTCTGTTTTCTGCTGTATTGTTATGTAATCATTTAATTTTGCACATCAATTTTTGCCTTCTGTAAAGTGAGCAAAAGGATTGTGAATGTTGAATACTTGCATTCAGCTTCATGGAACTCCATTGAAAGGTACTATGGGAGTACAAAATAATAACTGTTTAAAGCTGGAAAGATTTCCTTAGAGAAAATGTGGAGACAGCTGCAGTTCCCCTCTTTCTGTAGGTTTATTTCCAGTGGTATTGAGTAATTGTGCCTTTCAGCTTGGTTTATGATTATACCTAATGACATGGAGGGATTGTATCTCTTAGTATTACTGTAACTATTACATTGGCAATACTTACAATGTGAACTTCGTTTATGTTCCATAGAGAGCTTTCTGAGTGGATTATATAAGCAGTCTTTAAAATTTAGCTATTTTTTTCTCTAACAAAATATTGCTGGTATCTCTTATAAGCAGAGCTTGAGAAATCCAGAAACTAGAGATGAATTAGAAGGTTACAGCAGTTGTTACAACTATTGAAGTTGCCCATTTGCATGATGTTACCCTGCATCACCTTACATTCTCTGTGTAGTAAAACCACGGGGATGGGTCATTTCTGAATTGCCACTGCAGCTTTCCGCATAGTATTTGGAATTGATGGCTACAAATTTTATTTTAAAAAGTGAAATGTTCTATATATTTTGATTATGAAAAGAATCTGTTAAATGATGCAGCTTTTAAGAAAAAAAATACTGCAGTTACAGTCTGAAAACAGCTGCTATACATCCGTTTATTCAGAGTATTTCAAACATTTTAAACCTCCTTCCAATTACTCAAAAGGTTGTTTTTGAGAAGGAGACCAACATGATTTTTTTATTATTTTTTTTTTTTAGCTGGGGAAAATGAGGCAGAAATATTCATAACTTGTTTATTTGACTGTTGAGGTTGTGACCAGACACTCAGCAGCAGTGCTGTGTTTGCTACTCAGGCAGGCCTTGATCAGTTATTCTCAGCCCCCTGCTGCCTTCTTCATTGTGCTAGTACACCTCTCTGTGTGAATGTGCAGTGAACCAGTTACGGGGAATGATTCAGATGAAAAATAATGCTGTATTTTTAGATCAAGGGCAGTGCTGGTAAAAGTAGACATCAATGGCAGCCTTGTGATGGCATAGAGGGGTAGATGGATTTTCTTCAATTGGACTACTTGCCTAAATAAGAAAAACTGCTATGAACTGTGATTGCAGGTACTCAAGTCATAAGGAGAGATGGATGTTAGCCCTGTTCAAATTAAATTTATGGAGCTGCACCTTAATAGTTTTGTGGGTTTGGTTTTTTGGGATTTTTTGTTTTTTGGTTTTTTTTTAAACTAAGCCCATTGTTATGTTTTAGGAGCTTTAATAAATCAGTTCTTTTGAGTGATGTTCTCCAGTAACTAGGCTGTAGAAAAGAAAGTCTCTAATTTATTCTGGAAATGCAAAGATAGATTCTAGTCCTTGCTCTCTGTATTTATGCGCATCCTATCTGCAAGCTTTCCTGGTAGCAGGTCTGAGTAGAAATTCTCACCCATGAAGAAGCTGCTGCAGAGATCAAAGTGAAGGAGCAAGTGGTTGTGTATTTTCTCTCAATTATATTTTGAGAGCCCCATACAGTGAGATTTCTAATTTTAAGCAACAGGAATTACTTCAAGTACTGATATTGTAAGAAGTCTTTTCTGCACAGTGAAGCAAAATAAGAACTTTAAGGGATATTAAGACACAAACCTGCAAGAAGTATTCTTAAAAACAGTTGTAGCATAGAGCCTGGTTACTTGCCTGGACTTGCAACTCTGAGCTTTTTAAGAACTAAGCAGCCTGAAACACAATTCACGTTTATAAGATTTTTGTTGTTTCAAAAACATGCTGATTGCTGCTTCAGCAGAGGCACTGAGCAGTAAATTGCTTTTGATGTGTTCCAAACAGATTTTTCTGGTTAGTTGTCATTGACAGTGATGGCTTTGACGTTGGTCTAGTCTGCAGAATTAATCGGAAGACACCCAACAGCTGTTACATGGTAAT